TCTCTGGTGGTCTCCTTTCTATTTTCATGTCATTTCGTTCCTCAACTCCTCTTGCCTTTCTTGATCCCCCATATAAGAGTAAACATATGGTATTTGTCTTTCTGAATCTGGTTTACTTCACTTAATGTGATGATCTTCACTCCTTCCATTTTCCTGTAAATGACACAATTTCATTCTGAGTCCCCCATTGTGAATATAGACCACATTTTCTTTATCCACTCTTCTGTTGGGAGGTGATTAGGTTGTTTCCAGAGTTTAACTCTTGTGAAACATGGTATGCAGGTGTCCCTTACAGTATGCTCACTCTAATCTGTTCAATTATATATGAGGCAGTGGTAGAGCTGGGTCATATTGGAAGTTCTGTTTTTAGTTTTTTGAGAAGCTTCTATGCTGATTTCCATAGTAACTGTACTAATTTATATTCCCATCAACATCATAAGGGGTTGCATCTTCACCTGAATTTATTGTTTTTTGTTTGATTTTTGATAATAGCTTTTATGACTGGGTTGAGATGGACTCTCCAAGTACTTTTGAAGACCAAAATCTTTAATAAAGTCCAAGTCAGTAGTATTCTGTAGCTTATATCTTCTCTGTTGGCTGAGTATTAGGAATTTACAAAGTTTTTAATTACTGACCAAATGTGGGAAGTTGTTAGCTATAACTTTTTCAAATGTTTTTTTTTTCTTCTTTGTTTCAATATCTGAGATTATCTTTTCCTTTAAGAGTGACTTATGAGGGCTGGGGATTTAGCTCAGTGGCATAAGCACCTGTCTTGCAAGCAGGCAGTTGTGAGTTTGATCCCTGGTACTGATAAAGACAAAAAAGACAAAAAAAAAAAAAATGGGGAAAGAGTGACTCATGTTTTCTTTCCTTTTTCTATGTCAACCAATCTGGGCATGTATCTTAAAAGGCCTTGTGAATGCTAGTTTGTATAGAATCTGCATTCTATGATATTTTTTCTAAATGATGTTGAGGTTTTCACTGTGGCATGCAATTAACCGGATTAGACTCTACGTTCTCTGGTGCTTGTTTTGGGCACAGATCAAATTGCAGTTCAATTCTTTAAGCTTTTGCTGTTCTGTTCATATTACTTTAGGGTAAGTCAGAGCTCTGTGATATTCATACATAAAATCAGGTGATTTCTGTCTTTAGTTTCTTCTGCTAGAATTCCTCACTGTCCAGTGACCTGGGTAGCTTCCTCTGGTTTCTTTGGTATAAGTGATTGCAAGTTTTTACTAAAAACATTATTTGGTCTTTGAAGGGAACCTCAATGAGCTATGCAGGAGGAAAGAAACCCGCTCATCATCTCTCTGCCATTGGGGGAACCTTGGTGAGCCTTCTGGGAGGGAGAAACCCTGCCCATCTCATCTCCACCACCCCAGCAACCTCAGTCCAGAGGAACCCAGGTGCCTGGCATATTCCCTACATCATGGGACAGGCATCCATCATGGGAAGCACCCAGGAATTGGCAATTAGCTTATCTGGAGGGACACAAGGTAAAGGCACTCTAACAAAGGGAAATAATTGGCATAAAAGTCCCTAATATACAATTGGTTGTGTTAGATAACTATAAACTTTGCTCCTATGCTCCAAAGTACAAAATCAATAGTTAGCACAGTTTATAAATTTCTCAAATATGCTCAATTGTACTACTATAACTAGAATGTCATATCTGTCACAATTAGTTGTTTACCCTTGTGTAATAATATTGGGAAGTACTGGGATAATAATCCCACAACAGTTCTACTTTGAAAGACGGGACTGAGCCAAACAGAAGTCAACATGCTACTTTAAATTAATTGGAAAGGTAGGATATTGGGATAGACACAAACCAAGAATCTTCTGCACACAGAAGATGTCCCTGAAGAGTAGACTTTTCCTAGTGATACTAGTGATATTTCTGCTTACCATCAAAACTCACAAGGATAACCACAGAAAATAAAATGGAATTTTTTTTGAAATAGAAAAAGTCAAGATGAAGGAGCAAAACACAATCTCAGACTTCTAGTCCACCAAGAACAATTAAAGAAGATATAGACATACAAGAAATTGGAAACATGAATTATTAAATCTGGATCAAGAAGACACAAAAATTCTGACTCATTGTCAGCTAATAAAATTAAAAACATAATTAAAAACTTACCAACAAAAAAAGCACAGGTTGTGATGAACTCATGGCTGACTTTGCAAGAAATTTAAAGAACGTTTAACATCAGTGTTTCTCAAACTCTTTAATGCAAAGGAAAGGGAAGCAATTCTCTGTAACTCATTCCTGGAGGCAAATGTTAGTTTGATATCAAAACTAGAGAAAGACCCAACCAAAAAAGAGAACTATAGGCCAATTTCCTTAATAGACTTGATTAAAAAATCCTCCATAAAATACTAGCAAACAGGATGCAGCAAATCATCAAGAAAGTGTATACCATGACCAAGTGAGATTTATCTTAGGAATGCAGAGATGGTTCGACATATGTAAATCAATAAATGTAGTACACCATATCAACAGAGCCAAACATAAAAATCACATGATTACCTCAATAGATACAGAAAAAGCCTTTAATAAAGTCCAACACTCATTCATGATTAAAAAAAACCCTACAGGATATTGGAATAGATTTTTTCTACACCAATCAGACAAAAGCTATCTATGACAAACCAACAGCTGACATCATACTAAATGTACAAAAAGTGAAAACCTTCACCTTAAAATTAGGAACAAGTCAAGGATGTCCACTATCACCACTCTTATTTAATATGGTTCTTCAAACATTAGCCAAAGTGATTAGACAAGAGAGAGAAATAAAAAGAATAAGGATAGGAAAGGAAAAAGTTAAATTATCATTATTCACAGATGACATGATACTGTACATAGATGACCCCGAAACTCCACCAAAAGACTTCTAGATTTAATAACCAATTTCAGTAGTGTATCCGGATACAAAGTCAACACTCAAAAATCAGTAGTATTCTTGTACAGAAACAACAAAGAAATTATTGAAATAACACTTTTCATAATAGCATCCAAGAAAATGAAATACTTATGAATCAATCTAACAAAGGAAGTAAAAGATTTATACATTGGAAATTACCATACTCTGAAAAAAGAAATTAAAGATTTCAGAAAGTTAAAAGCTATTCCTTGTTCATGGATAGGAAGAGCCAACATTGTGAAAATGTCTATACTGCCAAAATTGTTACATAGACTTAATGCAATCTTTTTTAAAAAAATTTTATCGGTACCAGGGATCGAACTCACGACCGCCTGCTTGCAAGGCAGGTTCTTATGCCATGAGTTAAATCCCCAGCCCCAGATATAATGCAATCTTGATCAAAATACCATTTTCATACCTCACAGATCTAGAGAAAACATTCCTAAAATTCATCTAGAACCATAAGAAACCTAGAATAGCAAAGGCAATCCTGGGAAACAAAGATAATGCAGGAGGCATCACAATCTCTGAATTCAAATTATACTACAAAGCTACTATAATAAAATCAGCATGGTACTGGTAAAAGAAAAACACAGACTTGAGGATCAATGGAACAGAACAGAAGATGCAGACACAAGTGCAAATACACTCACCTTATCTTTGATAAAGGAGTCAAACAAGTCCACAAGAAGAAAGATAGCCTCTTCAGTAAACAGTGCTGGAAAAACTTGCTTTCTATATGTCAAAGACTAAAACTAGACCCATGTCTATCACTTTGCACTAAATGACAGTAAAAATGGATTAAAGATCTAAATATTAAAACAGAAACACTAAATCTATTGGAAAACAAAGAAGGTAGATATCTTGAAGACACAGAGAGTTCATGAACAAAATACAAAATGCCTGGGAAATACTTCAAAGAATTAAAAATGGGAACCTCATCTCATTAAAAAGGTTTTGCATATCAAAAGAAATCACCAACAGAGTGAAAAGAAAGCCCATGACTTGGGAAAAAATTTTAGAAACTGTCCCTCAGACAAAGGATTTATATCTAGAGCATATAAATAATTGAAAACAATCAGGTCCCTCAAATTCAAAGACCCAACCCAAAGATAGGCACCTGAGATGAACCATACTTCTCAGATGAAGAAATACAACAAACAAACAAATATATGAAAACATGATCAGCATTATTGGTCATTCATTGGTCAGAAATGTAAATTAAAACAACATTAAGATTCTATCTCACACCAGAGAGAATGGCTATTATCAAAAAACCATCTGATAAGGACTTCCAAGAAAATAGTGGAGTGGTGAGCATCAGAGAAAGAACTTCTCTAAGATTTGGTGTCCGGACCCTGGAAAATAACAACATGAGGAAGAGGAGGAGGAGGGAGTTGGGACCCACAGACACAGGAAGGATCTGAACTAGGACTTGAAGCTCATGGAGAGGGATAATTCAGGGATCCAGCAAAAATAAGAAAACCAGGGTGGCTGCCCTGTGCCAGCGGAGGCCTGCCAGCCAGGGAGAACCAGCAGTGAAGCTGCCTCTGCCTCCCTCCCTCCCTCCCTCTGTAAGCAACACGACACACACTGAGATGATTATCATAACTGAAGTAGGGAAGCAAGCTGACAGTTGTGTCATCTGATTGATAGTGCAAGCCAGAGTCTGGTAGTCTGAGCAACTATTGAGAGACTAACAATATGCGATGCAGTAGAGATTGTGGGTTTCCTACTGCCCTATCACTGTTTTGTTTTGTTTCATTTTACTGTTCTGTTTGATTCCCTTTAAAATAAAAAAGTGCAAAGGCAGCATCTCTGGAATGGCCTGAGAAGGTACTGAGGCTTGAGAGATGTTTATGGGGCAGTGAAGTGAACCATGGATTCATCTCAAAGGCTTTAAGAACATCAAGCATGAAAAAGCTTATATTTTAAAAACAGCTGTCAGAATGGAATAATAAAGGGTGACACAGGTACTCAGCCAAATTCATTTGCACAGATAAAACCCAAAAGCAAAATCTAACTTGTATGTGTTATCACTAATGTTTAAAAAAAGGAAATAAAGTCCACTAGAAGAAAAAGAAAATTTATTCAATAAAATCTTTTCTAGATAAATGCCACAGGTCATTTTTATTCGAAAAGAACTCTCCCTTAAATATATGCACACCTTCAAATACACATATGCAAGTTCTCCAGTGGCATCAGACAGTGTTTTACGAAGTCATAAAAAATACTACCTGTCAAGCACTTTTTCTTGCAGGGGCAACCAAAATCGCTAAGGTTATCTAAGTAAGAAATCGCTGGTGTTTATTAGGAAAGATTTTAATAGCACTTGCCTTGACAAGTTATTCCTCAGCCTTCCCCCACTCCCAGTTCAATATAATATAGCTATTTAATTTTGTGACTGCACACACATTCGTTTAAGATACTACTTGGAGAATAAGTATGAAGAGTTCAAGTAAATACAAATGATGCTTTTGCTACCTTTTCTCCAGATTTTACATGAGAATACAAGCTACGATTGTATTATGTGCATATGCCTAATGTACAGATTTTACAGTTGTCTACATCTCATATCTTCTTACAAGTACACAGGAGCTATTCGTTTATTCAGGTTTAAAACTATTGTTTGCCTTGTAATTCTGTTGGGACCTCATAATGTCATAATGCTGAAAATTACAAAATGTGACAAAATGTTCTGATGGCCCCATTCTTCCATGATTGAAGATAAACTCATTTTGTAAAAAGTAAATGCAACTGGATGATCATTAAGCCGACCTCATTCACAACTCGCTGTTTTGTGTCTTGGCAACCCAATTTAAGATCACTTTAAGGAATCTTCTCCCCCCTCCCCCCCTTTTTTTTACACAATTAACAGGAAGGGTAGGGGAGTAGACGTCTTACACACTGGGATGGGAGCTGTGAAACAAGGTGTGCATTAGTCTGTTTCCGTCTACTATAATGAAATACTTGAGGTTAGGTACTTTATTGCATTGTGCTTTTTCATTTTTGTCCTTTTCACCTTTTGGGCTAATACTTGGTTTTCCAATCCCAATAGTCATAACTGTCGGTAGTGTGTATCTTAGGGTCCTACTGTGTGGTTGGTATTTGATTACTGAATAACACACTGAAGAGGAGAGCCTGTCACCTGAATTTCTTCTGAGGGTCCTGTTGGGAGAGTCCTATATTCTTCCTGGGCTAACTAGCCTAGGAATATTGATGTAAGTCCACCCTTAGTTGCTGTTGCTACATTTCAGGTCATTACAGGTCACCAGATCTAGACCCTACTGTGTCACTGGGTGTCTCATAGACCCTTTTAATTTTCTCCAAGTTGGGGGAGCCCTTATTGGCACACTCCTCAACCCCCCTGATGTTCTCTGTGTGGAGGAAGGAGTCACCTATACCTTTGCCAAGCTCTCTAAGGTCTTCACTGGAAGGAGCTTTGCTACTGCTATTTACCCTTTGAAGACCTGTTTTAGGGGCAAACTCACCATATTGATTGGGGCCTGCTGAGATCTTGTTTGGGTGAGGTGTTACTGAGTCTCCCATCAAGCCAGCACAGTTAATCCATGTAGATCAAGGTTCCAATGATCAGCTACCTGGTCTAGGAGATGAGGAGGGTCGCCGAAGGCAGTGGGCCAGCATCATGTTGTTCCTTCGGGCTGGTGGGTCACGCAGGAAGCACGTGGTGATGCATGTGCAAAGTCCTGGGGTTAGGAACTTTATATGAAAACGTTTATCTCAGTTTTGAGGGCTCAGAAGCATGTTGGCTCTCTGGTGAGGGTCGTGTGGCAGATGGTGTCATAATTGCCACAGTGTGTGGAAGAGGTGATCATATCACAAGACAGGAAACCAGAAAGCCACTGGGTCCCCAAGGAATACTACACTATTCCCTTCTAAGGGTACCTATCCAGTGACCTAAGGACTTCTCACGAGGCTCTGCCTTTTAAATATCTCACTGCATTTTCCATGTCACCAAATTGGGGACTGTGCATCATCATGGGAACAAATCAAAACCACAGCAAGGAGTGAAGCACCGTCTAACAGATGAGTGGGTTACCGTGGTGAAGATGTGTTCTGAGAGCCATTCAGCTCAGTTTCTTAATTTCCAGTGAAAATTCTGTGTGGAGCAACCTGCTCCTTCTCCAGACTCCACCACACTGGACCAGGTTCAATCAGGGAGCGGTTTACTGGTGTTTCCAAGGGTTAGTGAATACCAGGATGAAATCCCAAGGTTTCCAGTCAACACTGTGTGTTCTCCCAGACAGGGTGATCAAAGATGCTTAACACTGCTGTGCTGCTGCAGCTGAGCTTGAACCAAACTTTCTGCTCTGAAATGCAGTTCCAAGAGAGACAAGATGGTGTTCAGAAGCAGGGCCTTGAGATTTGGAGTGCCTGCATCCTGACACTTGCATTGCCACTGATAAACTGGGTGACCTTGGCCATGTGCCCCACCTTCCTGAGCCAAAGCACTTGATGTATACGGAACACTCAAAACCACAGCGAGTGCACTCATGGCATCTTTTATTGTTTTTCACAGTATTAACGTACTTATTTTTGGTAGGTTTTTCATCGTGTTATGTACTAATAGTGATCTATTATCTGAGTGATACATTAACATGTTTCCTGGTCCTCAGAAACCTTTTGCAACTTCATTCTGAATCTATTAATGTTGTAGAACACAGGTTTCATTTTGTTATTCAAAAATTGTAAGAATTTCATATGATTCCTTCTTAGCATATTCTTGGGTATTTCAAATGAAGTCTTTGACTTACTAGGTTTTTGTCAGAAAAGGATTTACTTAGTTTAATTCCCATTACTTTTAATTACTTCCTTAACCTTCTCCAATTTTTTTTTTTCAGGGCACCTGAGAAAGAGAGCACCTTCTTCAGTCCTCTCTGACTGCTTCCCATTTCCCTCCTGAGAGACCCCCATGGTGGAATCAGAGCTTCTGTTTTCGGCCCTACTGTGACCACCTCTCATGTCTCCAGAGGCTCATTTTAGTTATGCCTCGCTGACTTCTTACATTTGAACTTGTAAAGAAAAATAAACTTGCTGCAAAGTACCACAAGGACATCCTAGTTTGGAACATTTTTAATTTTTTTGGCACATAACAATGAACAGTAGTATGTCACCAACTTGTAGTATAATTAACTCCTTATCTTTTGTTTTTTATGAATTTACATATTCGATTATCTATTTAATTTCCTGTCACTTTTCTAAGATGACTAAACATGTTTAACGAGGAAGTTTTTTTACTTAATGGACTTTGCAATTCATTTGTAACCAGTCAGTTTTTTAAAAGTTGGTTTAGGCTTAGTGAATACTATTGTACAATCCTGCAAAGTTTCCCTGCCGGAATTTGGACTACCTGGTTGTTCACCAGGATAACTTGTGAAAAACACTATATGGATTGGCTGGAAATTGTGGTGCAGTCTGTTATCCCAGCTGAGGTGGGAGAATTGCAAGCCCAAACCACCCTGGGTAATTTAGTGAGACCTTGTCAAATAAAAAGGCTGGGAATGGAGCTCAACATCCCTGGGTTCAGTCCTCACAAAAGCAGCAAGCAAGCTTGTGAACAAACTACATAGATAAGGGCACAGCAGGGCCAGGAGCTGTTAAGGAGATGCAGCAAAGCACATTATATAAAAACAATGCTGCTTTAAATAACTGATGCTGTTCTGCCTAGGGGTGCTGTACTGGCGCATTGAACCATATTTGGGGTCAGGGTGGTGTGACTGAAAGCCTGTTTTGGCCCCACCAGAATTTCTGCTTTGTCTTTGTTGAGAAGTCTGCATCAACTCTCACTTTTTTGTTGAAGCAGGTGAAGTTTTGAGCCTGATAAACACGGGCATTTTATGGAAAGCTAACTTTTGTAGCTGTCAGGAAGGCAAATTCAAGTTCTGACTTGTGTCATGTATTCTGTTCCCAGCATTAGCAGTAACTGACAGTTTATAATTTAGCAGCCAATAGTGGCTACTTGGCTCTGTTAAAATAAGTGTACATAGCTCTGGTGAGAGACAGAGAGAGGGAGAGAGAGAGAGAGAGAGAGAAAGAGAGAGAGAGAAAAAGGTGTTTTGCTAAAATGGAAAGGAGATGATCTTTGTTTTGCTAATACTTTGGGAGTCATGACCACAATTTAATATAATCAGATACATTTGTTCAAAGAAATTATCAAAGATCACACTTGGATATCAACCTGAGCCTGAGGTCAATAGGTAGACATTGATCATATGCTGCCAGAAACAATCTCATTTGAGAGATTAGGAGAATTTCCTCAAACATTCACGCAGAGATAGTCTAATATCATAATAATTAGAAAATTATTATTTCTAGGCTTTCTGTGTGGCAGTTCCATTGTGAATATACCTTAGCATAGGTTTTACTCAAAAGGATGTAAATTTACAAAACTGCCTGGTCTATGCCTACATTGCAACAAAGGGTTGTGTGCTGCTGCTATTTCTGGAAAAATAAAAAACTGGAATTGAAAAGTGAGATGATCACAAAGTGCGGTCATTCCTTCTTCATCAGCTCCATTAGATCATCTTCTATTCCATCTTTGCTTAGCTCATCTAAACTGTAATACCGATGAACAATTTTCTCAGCGGTGACAACCACAACTCGGAGGCCATGGGTGTCTTTGCCCAGCTGGCATCCAATGGCGGATGACACTACCATGTCCAGGTTCTGGTAGGTACCCCCAGCATTCCTGTGGTAGTGGCCTGAGAACACAGCTTTGATACCTGCAGGAAAGGGAGAAGACATTAGGGATGCAGTCATCATGCTTTGTTCTGGGAACAATACTATATTAAATGCCAAATATTATTTTGTGTGTAATAGAAAGGCAGGTGACATATATGATACCTAGACTCTTTTCCAAGACATTCTTATACATACTGTATCACTATCACATTTGTCATAACTAGACAAGAAGGTACTAGATGAGAGAAGCAAATGACTTTGGAAGAGAATGAAAACATTTTGAGGTCTGTATAAACATCTACATGGTAGAAGCTGTATATTTATAAAAAGTAGTATTTATTAAGGGCATAGTGTGGTAGTAGAGAGTAGGGCTGCCTAGCATTTGTAAGTCTCTGTGTCCAGCTCTGTTATGATATGGATTAAAATGTCCCTCAAAGCCTCCTGCGCTCAGTCTCTTTTGGAAAGAGACTGGATTGTGAGGACATACGGCTGAGTTGCTGCTAGGAGGTAGGATATGGTCAGAAGAGCTGGGCTTTGCAAGTGTTGCCTGGAAGGGTTATCTCTTCTGTTAAGTACTAACTATAATATAGTAATTATAATATTTAACAACTACTTCACAGAATTCCTTAAAATCTAATAATCATGGGGATGGGAAATAGCTCAGTGTTAGAGTATATGCTCAGCATGTATGAGGCCCATGTTCAATATCCAGTACACACATGCATATAATCGACAAGCTGGCTCTAATGAACTGGTAGAAGATGTCTCTGGCTTATCACTGGGCTGAGGCTTGTTACTATCTGACAGACTAGAAAGAAGGATGGACACATTCACACCTAGGAACTGACACACATCTTCTAATGTTACTGTGGGGCTCTAACCAACCATTATGAAGGCTAGTCCTTGGACTCGGGGATGTGGGTGGAGGTAACCAAAGGTACAAGGCAGGGAGAAGTAGGTTAAGAGGGAAAGAGTGACAGAAAAACAAATAGGAAATGACTATTCCTCAAACTGGACCTGCAGTAAAAAATTCTATCACTCATAAAGAACTCACATACTAACAGCCCATACATTCTTCCCTCGGTAACACATATTTAATCCATGTTACTGTTTAGATCTAGAATATGTCCTGCCAACGTTTCCTACGGTTAGAGGTGAGGATTTTGGAAGGTGATTGGAACAAAGGGGTTATATACTCATCAGTGGATTAATGTATTGGTGAGTCCAAGGCTAAATGTGCCATTAGGAAGTAGGGCCCGACAGGAGGTGGGGCACGGGGGCCATGGCTCATAAGGGTGCATTCTTGTCCCTGGCTATCATGTCACTCTCTGCTTCTTGGCTGCCATGAGGGGAGCAGCTTTCTTCCCCCATGTCATTTCCACCTTGGTGCCAACTGATTATGGAGTGAATTCTCTAGAAACCAGGAGCCAAAACAAACGTTTTTAAGCTCAGATGTTGGGTATTTTGCCTCTGCAATGGGAAAGGTAAAATTTTGTCTGACAAGTATGTAAAATATCAGAGTCCTTAGCAAAAGACTAATGTCCACAAAAAGATGTTATGAAACGAAACAGGGATGTATTGCATGAGAACAGTAGGCAGTGATACTTTAGAAATGGTGCTCATAAAAGATAAGCTCATTGAATTTTAAAATTTAAAAACCCTCAATAAATGGAATAAATTCTAGACTGACACTAATTAAAGAAATTGGTAAACTGATAGGCAGAATCCAGGAAATGAATGTGAAGACAGCACAGAGACCCAGATACAAGCAACATGAACAAACAGTTCGATGATGAAGTGCCAGCAGATGTTTAAGCAGAGAGAAAAGAAGAAGAAAACAGCAGTGAGAAGAATTTGAAGAATAAATAATGGAGAATTTTCCAAAAATACAGAAGATGTGAGGTCTTTAGCTAAAAAGCACTAAGTAGGAAACAAAACTACAATGACGTAAAAACTGGTACATCACGGGGAAAGGGAAAACTCTTAAAGAGACTGTGGTGAAAATATTACAAAGGATGGACAGAAAGACAGAGAGCAGGCATCCCAGTATGACAGCATCGGAGCACACCTTCAAAATCTTGAGGACAAATAACTCGGACCCTAAAGTTTATACCTAAATTGTCATTTAAGTTTGAGGCAAAATAAAGACAAGTTTAGAAATACAAAGACTAAGAACTTAACACTCTAAAATTTTCACTAAAAAGAACTGTAAAGAATATTATTTCAACAATGGGAGAGATGAAATGTTCAACACAATGATGAGCTAACACTGATAAAATGTTTTAATCAACTGAATTATCCACTAGTTGCTTTTGTTAATTCCTATTTTAAAAGTGAAACAGTCTCAACAATGTCAAGCTGGGAAATTCAATGAAAAATGAAAGCTCATAAACTTTACTGTCATATTTGGAAGTAAGAAGAAAGTACTGGATTACTGAGTACTTTGCTTAAAAATATATATAAAATGTTTCTTCAAAATGTATATAGGTAAACAAACTAACACTACATAAATTGGACTTCATGAAAATTAAAAAGCTCGAGCCAGGCGTGGTGGCTCACGCCTGTAATTCTAGCACTTAGGAGGCTGAGGCAAGAGGAGGTTGTGAGTTCAAGATCAGCCTAGGCTACAAAGTGAATTCAAGGCCAGCCTGAACTGCATAGTGAAACCCTATCTCAAAAAGACTAAATAAATAAATAAATACATACATAAATAAAAAAAATAAAAAAATAAAAAGCTCTGTGCTTCAAAAAACAGTATAAAAAATGAAAAGACAACCAAAGAATAGGGGAAAATATTTGTGAATTGTCTGATAAGGGTCTAATATTCAGACAACCAAAAAAACAGACTGTTAACAACTCCATGCTAGGAACCCAATCCAATTAAAAAATGGGCAAAGGATCTGATCAGACACTTCTCTAAAGAAGATAGACAAATGGCCAGTAAGCACATGAAAAGATGTTCAAAATCATCAGTCATTAGAGAAATGCAAATCAGCAGCACAATGAGATGCCATTTCACACTCTCCAGGATATCTATAATGGAAAAGATGGAAAGTAACACGTTCAGGGCTTTGGAGAAATTTGAACCCTCTTTCAGCGCTGGTTGGTGTATGAATGTATAGCCTGAGGAAAGCAGCTCCTCAGAAGGTTAAACACTTAGGTGCCACCACCCAGCAACTTCATGACTGCGCTCTGTATACGGAATATCACCAAAAACTACAGATTAAGTTTAAAGAAAATTATTACAGTGCCACTAATCTTTAGAAAACTACCCTTATGCTTCAAACACATCATTTTTGCTGCTTTCTGAAGCATTTCTGGGAGTCTTCTTTTGTGAGAGTCTTCAGTTGTGGCTGCAATTATTCCTGCATCTATTCAAAATACTTACTTCTCATGGTCATTTGATTTAGGAGAGTCAGAAGTCACACAGGACCAGATCCATGAATAAGGTGGGTGCGGACACACTCTAGTGTTTCGTGAGTCTGCCTCTGCAGTGGATGGTACTTAGCAGTGGCACACACTGTATTTATCACACCTCAGAAAGTAGGTCATGAAAGAAAATTTCCTGGACTGCTTCAGCAAGTGGCAAGACTTATGGTACGTGTATTTAAAGAGTGTATAGGGAGCTATTTTGAGAGGGACTAATGGCAACACATCTTTTACTGTAAGGAATTTTTCTTTGTATACACACACCAAATTTTTGATCAGTTTTTACATACTTGAGAGAAATGAAAATATCTATACAAAACTCTGTGCATGAATATTTATTGCAGCATTATTAAAAAAAGTAGAAACAAACTGAATGTCCACCAACTGATGACAGATTAATAAAATGCATACAACAGAACAATATCCAGTCATAAAATTCAGCACTGATACCTGACCCACTGTGTTAAATGAAAGCAGCCAGACACCAAAAGCCACAAAATGTTATCCCATTTATACGAAATGCCCAGATTTTACAGGCAAATCTATAGACAGAAAGTAATTACTACTGTTAGAGGTTAGGCAAATGGGGAATGACTGCTAATGAGTATGGAGTTCATTTGTGAAACGGTAAAAATGGACTGCAATTAGGCAGTGGTGATGGCTGCATAATCTTGTGAATATAGTAAAACTACTGAATTTTATATTTTAAATGGGTGAATTTTATGGCATGTGGATTATAGCACAATAAAAATGTAAAAAAAATTGTGCAAGGGAGAGGTAGTTAAAATGATTCACGTGGCAACGGATTAGAGTTGGCAATATCTGTATAGATTCATGTTTGGCTTAACACCAACACAGATGGCCATATACGAGAATATTTACAGATGCACATAGACATGGGCTAGTATACAGACATCCACCTTCTTGCTCTGTCTGAGAAGAGCACCTGGAAGCAAGAACATAATACCCACAAGGGCACCCCAGCACTCAGATCTTGGTTCTTTTTTTTTTTTTTTTTTTTTTTGTACTGGGGATTGAACTCACGACCTCACGTTTGCCAGGGAGGTGCTTATGGTGCTGAGCTAAATCCCTGGCCCTAAATCTTGCTTCTAATAACACTGTTATCTAATATCAGGGGCTATGGATCCTTGGAGAAATGGCTGAGGGCAGGACTGGGACAGGAAATATGAGTTTGTGTATCTTCAAAGAAATTAAGTTTTCAAAACCCAAACCCACAATGCTGGGTGTATCAAAGGAACATTGGAAGAACCCCCAGTAACTCAGGCTTTACATTTGAGCAACAAATACAATATTATTGAATTTCCAAAGTATAAAGAAAACCCACAAGTCTATAATGATGTTTAGGTAGACACTCTATCCTCTACGAGGTACAGCCTCGCTTCTTACCGCCTAGCTGTGTTTGTGAACTGTGACTTCCTTTCAGAGAGAACAGTACAAAGAAGAGGTTAAAAAAAAAAAGGAGTAATCTTATGGTAGAGAAACTGGACATACATCACCTGCACTAAGTCATGAATGCACTCTTGGAATGGTTGTGACAAAGTGGCACTTTATCTCTGTGGTCTTTCTCCCTTAAGCCCTCAACCCCACCCAG